CTCCATGGCCACTGTGAAAATTGGATAACAAACTACATAAATTCAGATGCAGGAATTAAAACTCCACCAAGCAGACCCTTGAACACAGCGCCCCAGTGAAGTCAAGTTTTGTTATTTAACCTCAGAAAGTACAAACTGTCTACTCATACGTATCAAAGGCGAAAACAGATCAGTCCTCCGCGAGGGCGCTCTAAGCAAGGGGTCTATAAAAAAGGATGTTGCTTACCTATCCTACGCAGTGAGTAGTTCAACTGATGTATCTGTCGTTCTAGGAACAACACAGCGACCACCACCACTACCACCAGCACCACCGACAATCTGTTCTGCAACATGGCTCGATGCGGTATCAGGGAAAACTTGGCCATCTGATGGAAAGGACGCTCGGAAGTCGGTTTCCGAGCGAGGGGGGCCTGGGCCTCCCTACCCAAGAAGATGCGGCAGCAGTTCTTTTTTCTTGAAATGTCAAAAAGGTTTCACAGTTTTTTAACTTTTAATGAAGAGTCTTGGCACTCTGGCCAGTATCTAAAGAAGGATGTTCCTAGTCCAATATTTTCACAAGATTTAGTCCAGGATCGGTTTCGGTTCTTGGGAAAATCCTCTGCCTTATCTACTGCTGTGGGCATCCAACTTCAAAGGTTGAAATGTTGAAATCCAGAATGTTGAAATCCAGAGCTATATTGTAAAGAATTATCTGTAGGCAGTAATAGAGAATATAATACAAAATGATTGGTTTTCTTTCACAAAATTTTCAGTGCCAAACGGGGAAGAAACACACAAGCATGGGTGAAACGTAAGGGAAAAAAGGAGGGAAACTTTTGGGGACATTTTCATGAGGCTCAAAAGAGCTGTTTGTACATGTAGGAAGCCTTCAAAATTTGATGAACAAGATGAAACAAACAACCTTACAACACGAATCAAATCAATAATTCCGAAGTCTTAATTACATTAACACAAACAACACAAGGAAAATAGGTAAATAAACATGTATTTACAGAAATAAATGTGATTATAATATTTTCATTCTGTCTAACATTAACGTTAACATAAAGTTCAGTGTTATTTATTTGTATGAACATTTAGGATTACAAATACATGTGCCATATATGTATGAAAGTAATTTTGCCAGTCTTTTTTGTGTGGTAATTTATGTCCTCTTCAAGTTTGTTTATTTTTTGCATGAGGTGGTGGCTGTATAATTGTGTATACAATGCAGTACTGCCATACTGCCTACATGTGCTGCATACACTTGAGCTTCCTTGTGGAACCCAACTTGGTCCTGGTTCACTGCTTAAGTCAGGGTAACCACTATAATTGCCAATGGGCGAGGACTGCAACAAACGCTGTCCATCTGTTAGCACCACAGGGCAGCCCTGGCCAATGGGGAATAAAAATGTGTGATATCGGCATTAAGGTTTCCTTGGACTGGGAATAAAGAAGTGCATTTTTGTGTGGTGTTCTTGGGCTCGTTTTTTGCATAGTCGTCGCAGTTTACTTTCAGGTCCAAAACTTTGGGCTATGGAACCCGTGCACAAGTAACCCTCAATGTTTAAAATGGGAGAGTTGGTGGTGGGGGTTGGGTGGTGGGGATTGGGGGGGTGGGGGAAGGTGGTGGCGGGGTGGGGGGGGGGGGAGGACCACTTGAATGCATTGCTGAAGGCGCCTGATACCCATGCGAAGACATCATGGTTTTGTGTGGATATCCAGTATCTCTATTTTTATACATTTGCTGCACCATATTGCCACCAGAACACTGAAAAGTCCATGTAATAAAAAAAGATGAACATACATGTATTCCAGTCTATAGGGTCAGATCTTGTGCAAAAGAAAATGTTATGAATTGAGGCCTCAAACTTGGAAGACCCTATGCTTGCCATGTGCTATAAGCAATGAAAGAAAATGTTGCATTGCATTTTAAGTACAGGATTTCCTGATGTTAAAGACTCTTTTAAAGCGTTGATTGTTATGTAATCAAGTGTTTATAGGAAGTAAGTCAGGAAATCCTGCCGATGCATACAGGGATAATAATCAATAATGGGCAAATTCTTCTGCTGGTCAAGCTGATGGTACAACATGATATCCTGGTGGATGGTCAGCCCTTGAAAAAAAAAGACTTTTGGGCAGAGAAAATTTAGTTATTGTTCAAAACTGTTCATTATAAAAGAGAGGAAAAGGGCACTTGTTAGGGGCCTACATGTATGTTTAAAAGGCAAAAAAAAAAATTCTGCTTCCGATTACATGGCATTCGAAAATAGGGTAGGTAGGTAGGGAATTTTTTTTTTTTTGGCCAATTTTTTGTGTGTACGATCATATGGAGGCGTCTGCGTGTAGTCAAGGCTAAGTAAAATGTATGAAGTGATGGTTTTGGGCGTGTTTTTTTTTCTTTTTTCCAATAAAAAAATTAGGGTAGGGGCTGTCAGAATAGGGTAGGTAGTAGCTGGAGTTACCCAGCCCTGAATTTTATCATTGGGTTGTCATCTAGGGCTGGAGCTCATTTTTCTCAAAACTTGTAGTATTTGCAAAAAAAATTTGGAAAATGTTCAATTTTGTCCCCGTTACACACTAATTGCAACTGCAACTCACCCCAAACTTGCCTGGAATATAACCATTACACAGGTCCTTGAAGTAAAAAACGATCCACGATGAAGATTCAGCCTACAATTGCAGTGAAAACAGGAGGAATAACCGCTAACTTGACAACCTTGCTGGATTGGCCAGGACCGCTATTAGTTTGTGCACAAAAAAAATTGTGTACAATGAATGGCGGTCGATTAACAGGCACAGAGAGCGATCGCTGTCAACTACTCGTTTTGCCGGCTGCGCTGGCTGTTGGCGCATGACGTCACGCGGAAGCGTAACACCCGATGACTGTTTCATGCACTAGTATAAGGTTTACCACTCGCATCAAAGCTTTGGTACTGGAACCGCAACCAATAGTGCATGAAACAGTCATCGGGTGTTACGCTTCCGCGTGACGTCATGCGCAAACAGCAAGCGCAGCCGGCAAAACGAGTAGTTGACAGCGATCGCTCTCTGTGCCTGTTAATCGACCGCCATTCATTGTACACAATTTTTTTTGTGCACAAACCAATAGCGGTCCTGGCCAATCCAGCAAGGTTGTCAAGTTAGCGGTTATTCCTCCTGTTTTCACTGCAATTGTAGGCTGAATCTTCATCGTGGATCGTTTTTTACTTCAAGGACCTGTGTAATGGTTATTCCAGGCAAGTTTGGGGTGAGTTGCAGTTGCAATTAGTGTGTAACGGGGACAAAATTGAACATTTTCCAAATTTTTTTTGCAAATACTACAAGTTTTGAGAAAAATGCGCTCCAGCCCTAGATGACAACCCAATGATAAAACTCAGGGCTGGGTAACTCCAGCTAGGTAGGTAGAGAAACCGGAAGCAGAACTATTATTTTTTTTGCCCATATATTGGATTCACAATACAGCAGATTTACCTATGTGCAAGTACCAGAAGCTGGTAATGTTGAAAAGCAACAGGAATGTCGTGGGAAATATGTCTCATAATACGTCATTATGAATATTTCATTTCTTATGAATATTTATTTTATTGGGAAAAATGTTGCAAGCTGACACCACTTTTTTCTTCATATATCATCTCAATCAAGGTCAGCCATTGCAAAAATGATGATAAGACATGAATCTGGGACTGAGAAATATTTCCAATTTTGTTAGGAAATACTTTTCTTGACTCTCCATAGACTTTGTACACAACCGCTGAAGTGGCGTCAGGTTGAAACAGTTTTTCCATTATATTTAATATTCATTAGTCTTATCACTAGACTACCTCCGTTTTATGGCCACACTTCCACCATGTAGAAAAACATGTTGAACTTTGTTAAATTTTGATTTTCACATTTAGGCTTAGTTTGTACTAGTTTATTTTTGCTTTAGAAGCATACTCGCCCTCTTTATACTAGGCTAATCAGAAAGTGCTGCCTTTTTTCAGATGTCTTATTTTCGTAAAATTTCCAGATTCGTTTGCACACGTTTGCGTATCAAAATTTCAACATGAAATTTCACGAAAATTAGACATCTGAAAAAGGCAGCACTTTCTGATTAGCCTATAAAGAGGGTGAGTATGCTTCCGAGGCAAAAATAAACTACAAACTAAGCCTAAATGTGAAAATCAAAATTTGACAAAGTTCGACATGTTTTTGTACATGGTCATGATACTGAATAGTGTGGCTTTTATTTATGGAGGTAGGCTAGTCCAGTAAATTGGCCACATTTATGGGGCTAATGTATTGTATTATTTGTAAGATGTACATGATGATCCAGCTTACCTGTGCGACAGAACACTCACTGAACCCATGGAGGATTATTCCTCCATGCTGAACCCCATACAACAGCCCTCACATGCGGGAGAAACTGCACAGTGACACACGCTCGAGAGACCGTGGAGGAATGAGAACAGTCACAGAGGCGATAGGTCAGGCGCACGCTACGGCCGTACCCGCAAACTGTGCTTCGTCCGGTCAGCTTGCGGGGTTCAGGAACTGAGGAAGTGACATGCGGAGGAAATGTCCAGCTTCAACAGATTACGAAATATCAGAAGCTCTATCTTTAAATCCAGTCACTAAAGTGTTTGAAATACAGCCAGATGCTTCCGATCGTTGACAACCGTTATCTTTGTCACGTTTGCAGTGGAGAAAGAAGTGGGCACCGATACGACCTATTCAACGCTAACTTAACTGCACTCGCTTGCGCGCGCTACATGCAGTTGTGCGACTTGTTTTCTTCGATAGTCTTTCAAATCAGCCGTCACCTGGGTGTAGACTAGAGGACGATGTCAGCACAGCAGAGTTGTACAACAACATTAATTTTAAGTACTATAAGTAAAATTTCCCCTCACGTGGTTGTCCAAAAATTCCACTGATAATTCAGGGTCCTTCTTATTACTGTACGCATGAATAATTTTTGTATCCTTCTTCGGCTTGATTATAGTCTAGTCAAGGATAGTCAGACTACCTGTAATTTGTTGTGGGAAAAACAGGGGTACTATACTTGTACTTTGCGCCGATCGGAATAAAGGGCGCCCTCAATATCTTCCAAGATGGCAGACCCATTGGGTCTTTTCGCCCTGTTTCTCTGTCTTATACAGGTCTGTAATTCCTATATTTATTATGTGTCATACTTGAAAATTACCACCTTGTGATTGATAAGAGCCTTATCATGCATGGTGCTTATTGGCTCTAATTTTGGTGGGTTTTTTTGGCTAAACAGGACCACTTTTTTGCTTGTATTCGGACACGTCATCGGATCGTGTAGTCGCTGATGGGTCACTTTTTGTTGTAACTTAGCTGACGGCTGCGGGCGCTATACTACTGTCACTGCTGTCACAAAAGTATCAATGCTTCTGTAGTACTAATAGTAAAAATACAGAAGCATTGACAAATGCTTCTATAATGTAGTTCTACACTTCAAAAATTGACAGAATGTAGTATCCAAATGCCACGTCTTAGTTTTGTACAAAGTCTATGGAGTGTTGAGAACATTTTTAATAAGTGTTTCCTAACAAAATTGGAAATGTTTCTCAGTCTCGGTGCCAGATATATGTCTTTTCAACATTTTTGCAATGACTGGCCTTCATTGAGATGATATATGATGAAAAATGTGGGGAAAAATGTTTCAACCTGACGCCACTTTTTTCTTCATATATCATCTCAATGAAGGTCAGTCATTGCAAAAACGATGATAAGACATGAATCTGGGACTGAGAAACATGTCCAATTTTGTTAGAAAATACTTAAAAAAATTCTTGACTCTCCATAGACTTTGTACACAACCGCTGAAGTGGCATCAGGATGCAACATTCTTTCCCAAGAAATGAACTAGGCCTATAATAAAGACACAGATCATTTTATTGGTATTCATTTTGAGAAGTGCAGTAGGTCCTATTTCTTACAGAATGTAAAACTGAAATATTTGTAATTTTATAATAATTGCCCGTGAACCAGTCCCAATTGTGCATGGCATTGAACATGCGGAGTGACTGGGTTTTTTTTTTTGACTTAAGACATTTTTATTGTCAGGAATCTTTGTCTGGTTCCGACAATTAATACTTTTTGAGACCAAAAAAAATAATAATAATTCAAAAACAACAGCCAGGCTGGTATTTGAACTCGCACGGCGTGCTTACAAGGTGGGTGCAGTGCACTATCCACTAGGCCACATGTTCTCTTGACCTGAGTTAGCAAATTAATATCTTATATGGTGAAGGCCTACTTGTATATATGCATGAGGGAACTATATGATCTGCCAGCTTAAAGAACAGAAAAAATGCGGGACTGCTTCATGGCTATTTAAACACTTTGTTCGGTAAACAAAAATGAAAAGCTATTGCAATTAAAATAGTGGCAAACAAAAGTATCAACATTGTTGGAGGGAAACAGTCACAGCAAATGAAACAGGTCTATTCAATTTGTTTGTGTTTGTTTATACAGTAATTCATTTTTTTTTTCAATTTCTCATTTTTTTCTGTAGGTGGCCCGTTCTTCCGGCCAGTTTGAGTCTCCGTCCCCACCCCTCAGACAAGACTGCTTTGCGTTGGGTCTGTCTTCCAATCTCTTGTGCAGCTCCTGCAGCGTCCTACCCAATCACGGGCTGGAGTCGCTGGTGCCAGACTGCCAGACTTGCTGTCACAAAGACAACGATGCTGAGGACCAAAAGGTGACATGCCACGCCCATGGCTCCTGCCACACCCACCAAAATTCTTTATGTATTCTATTGGCTGCCCAGTAATGAACACACCCCCTTGATACTGATTTGGTCCCACTTCCCCATTTGGAATGGCATAAGTGTACTTTGGGACCCCCTTCCTGTAAGACAACTAAATCCACTTTATGTTATTGGATTCGCCAGAATACCTGGCAACGGCAATATTGAAAAGCAACAGGAATGTTTGGAGTGAGGGCAGGGTTATGGATTTAGAAGGGAATTATGGGGTAAATTATGACCCAAAAAAATGATAAAACAACGACAAAATACAACACAAACAAGTACCAAGTGGTACAACCCACTGCGGTTCCACGAATCGTACAGCCGCGAATTTTGCAATGAAATGGGGCGTGGTCTAATATGCAAATTAGACGCATGCGCATCAGTGTCACAAAACTGAAGGTATTCCATAGAAACTCACTGGCAAAGCTGCGATACATACGTGGCATGGAACAGAATAATATACCCCGAGTAAAGTGTCCACCAATTACCCACCCACCCACCCACCCACCAACCAACATAAGCAGCTCAAGCCCACGGCGTGTTTCACTCCACCATGGGGAAAATGGTGATTGTGTGCCAACCCAGTGTGTGATGCTAAGTGAATGCACTAGAGTGCCATTGATTACCAAGGTATCAACTTGAAAAAAATGGATAATTAAGTCACAGTTTTTGTCAATGTACTGTTGAAAATCTGAAAAACTAGGGCAAAAGAAGATTGCTTGAGGGTGCTGAAGTCATTGGAGCAATAAGAACTGTTTTAGAATTAATGAAAAAGAGGGGCCCTCAAGTGCACATTTACATATGGAATATCTCATCTGGATGTAGCTCTTTTTTAGTACAACTAGTCTGTAAAAGGTAAAGGTAAAGATCCCATAGCCATTACTGGCCGTAGGGGCAGTGGGATGTTAGAGGTCCACTGTGTCTTGGGCGCGGCATATGAGTGGCGGGGCCCAGTCCTCTCCTCTCGCCGTCTTACCTTCCCTGAACGAATCAGGTACCCATTTTACTGTTGCGTCGTCACGTCAGAGAGAGTTTTCCAGTTTTTGGTCCGAATGGATTCAAACCGCCAACCTTCCACTCCGTAGCTCCACGCTCTAACCGCTCGGCTACAAGGCCCCCTACTAGTCTGTACATTAAATTAAATTAAACCATTCGCTTGATTTCAAATTAAAAAGTAAATATTCCAAATCCCCTTTTTTGCAGCTTTATCCAAAGGCAATCCTGGAGGTGTGCAGCTGAAAATTGGGGAGATTTCCACAGATCCAGGGTAAAATAAAAACTAAAATTGTAATTTAAAACTTGTAATCAAACATTTTAATTATTTCCTTGTCAATTGTCATTATGTGCATCTTGTGTGGTCAAGATCAAAAATAATTTCATCTATCAAAAGTTGTATAGAATAACCTTATATTTTCTCATCATTTTTTGACAGCCTTCGTCAAGGGTGAGCGGGCCCAAAATTTTCCAAATCTTGAGATAAAGGTAAATACATCAATCTCACAATCGAGTGGAAGCTTGCAAATATAAACTGGTATAAACCTTTACAAATTAAATAATTTCTGGAGGACGTTTGAAGATCTGGGAGCTGACAAAATGTTTTCACTCGCCAAACTAAGAACTGTGAAATTAAATGTTTCCCCTCCTTTTCTCCCTTCTTTGATACAGTTCAAGCGCGGGGCCGACCCAGCCCTGAAGTTCCTGAATGAGAAGAACCAGGTCCAGGAAACGCTGAGCATCGAGCGATGGAACACGGACACTGTGGAAGAATTCCTGCAGGAACGCCTCATGCCATAAAATTAAAAGAAAGAAAATTATACGATTGTTCTTAAGGCCATGCGGAAAAGAAAACTGGTTTTGTGGTCCAAACCAAAGGAAAAGTCTCTTCAGAAATCGGCCCAATTTTAATGGAGCTTAGAATATTTATGTGCTAAGCGGAAATCAGCGGGGAACCAGTCACGAGCTGTAGCACTTGCATGGCATTTTGGTTGGTAACCTGTTTTTGCTAAGCAGATGTTTTCTATGCTTAGTAATTTCTTTGCTTTGCAGTGCTGTGAATTTAGGCTTATGGTCACCAAACTGTAAAAATTTGGTTGATTCCATTCAAAGCAACGTGGTGGATAACCTATTCAACTCGTCTTCAATTTTCTATTTCTCCAATTTTCTTGTTCTTCAAGGCCTTAAGAATGATTAAGAATACTTAGTGTTGTGAGACACTTTTATGAAGGCATTGTGCTAAACCGGAACGGGGCACAGTGCCTGATGTTCAGTGTGTCATGACAAATTGTATTACTTTTGTCTGTATAAGAAAATAAATGTTTTGTGTTGAGTAAACAGGTACTTTATTGCTGCACAACGTAAAATACAGTGCTCTTATTGTGTTTTTTGTACTGTTCACATATTTATTATTTCAGTAACGTTAACCCTTACTAGCTCAATTGAGTTAAAGGCATAATAGCATCATTCACATTTATCCCAAAAGTAACCTACCAAATTATTATCAAAAAGCTTACTTGGATTAAAGATCGTACTGATACTAAACACCCCGTGAAATTACTCTGTCTGGTTTGCTGTCACTTGGAAAAAAATCAGGAAATGTAAAAGATTTCCAACAATCAGTCAATTGACTGGGGTTTTTTGGAATAAAAGAATGCAGACAGAATCGTGTTTCAAAAGGCTGTGCGTGGTTTTCACTGTTTTCCTGAAAAGTGTAATATCCACCGAGCTGAAACTTCCACAGGTTGGGTTTTGAACACTCTTTGGATTTTGAGTGGTTTAATATTTGAAATGAACAAAATACATGAAAAGCAAATGATCCTATATCCCTTTACAATCCAGTACTTCGGCTTACTTAATATTCATGTGTCCAAAGGTCATTATGGGATTTGATGGCTCAGTTTTTAAGCAAACAACTTTCCATTGGTTTGCTATAGTGTTGGATTTCAGTGCATTTAGGGTCCGAACAAAATCCAAGAGCCAATGCTAAAGAAATGTATCCATTATCTGTACACCAAATGTATATGCTGTTAAAAACCAAAATCATGTATTGTCATTTAATATATTTTATTTCTTCCATACCAAAAAATATCTCCAAATCGACCGTAACGGAATTTTTTATTTCTTCCACATGAGTTTACCTGAAAACCATATTTGTCACTTAGAAATAGTTGTTTGCCCTTATTTTATTTTAAAAAAATATCCTGGAATAAAAAGAGACACAGAACGATTGGCAGTCCACATTTCTGGGTTTTTTTTTTTAATTCTGTTCTTGCCCTTTTCACTTTCTTTCATTTATTTTATTCAACACAATTCTTGATCTTTGACATGTTAATACACCATTGCCTCAGCTGCTACATTAAACACCTCCAAATGTAACCCAAATGTTAACAGAACGCAATATAAATAAATGCACAATCACACAAACATTTACAAAAAGGGCCATCAGAAAAGTAAATCAAATTACCATCAAAGGTATGACATCTAGTCACGTTTTAGTCATCAATCACCATTGACAAAGAAACATTTTTAGCATAAGCAACAAACTTAAAAGTTGCATTAATGATAAACAGAATTCTTTGTAATCGGTCCAAAAAAAAAAAAAAAGAAGCAGACTCAACTTTTTTTTTTTTTTACACATTTTTCAAATTAGGTGAACACCACTGGTAACCTCACACAACCGTTGTAAATTGCAGTGCACCAGTTGACCATAAATACTTGATATTAAATGCTTTCCACACCCGGTCACCAGGGAAGTTGGTGAACGGACACCAATGCATAACATGCATCAAATCTCTGGGGAACCAGCTAGAACTGCTGGAAAGGTCTGCTTAATACAAACCAAATTAAAGATGTCTTGCCAAAATTTGCATAATGCCAGTCAATGGACAAATATCACAAAACAATCCTTTTAGGAAGTTTCAAAATACAATTTCAAAACCTTTTTTTAAAATTTAATTTGACAACTTCAAACCGGATCAAAACCGGAAAAAGTTTCTTACCCTCGGGGATATAATCAACATCTGTTACCCTGCAATTGGTAATACATAGCACACAATTGTTTTACAGAACAAAATGCCCACTTAAAGATTTGATGAGGCTGTTTTATCTCTTCACCCATAAATGACCGTGTTAAGGCGGGAAAATCCGAGTTAAACTTGAATACAACATCACAATTCATATTCTGTAACACAGGCCAGTGTCGCCAACACGCAAAATTCATTCCACTTAATTTCTCTAATTCCAGTTAGTTCAAGTTCTAAGTGAAATCAAACACAAAGTGAATAGAAAATTCAAAATATTTCAGTTTTCTTTAGACTGCTGCCTGCATCCAAGATGTCTTCCATTCGTGAAACTCTCTAAAAAAAAATTTCATCATTTCATCTGACGATCACCTTTGATAATTCTCCGTAACCAAACACATTTTTTTCAGAAAAATCAGTGTCTTCCATTTTACCATTCATCTTCATTTAAATAATACAGTCTCTTCCTGCTGAAATACACCCCTATTATGATAAGCAAACAGTTTAAAAAATAAACCGGCAATCTGAGATTTAGTACCTTTAAAGAAATATACGATTGGCCCCCCAAAAAAGGGGGTACATCAGAAAGAAAGCAAAAACTGCTGTCAGTTTTGTATAGTATAGTCATGTTGAATTTGTAGGATTCTCACTCAATATTTGATTTAAAAGCTGCACACTGTCCAACACTGACACTGCATTTTTATAGCGTAAATGTACATGTGGTTCAACATCAAATATGCACAGCAGTTTCAAACATTTTCATTTCAAACGTCACTTAAAAATCTCCAAATCAGTGTTGCACAAGAACACCAATTGCCAATTCTGTTCATGGTTGAAATAGTTGAGTCACACTCAGAGATAAAACTTCAGCATTTATGGGCTGCGAACATGTAAACACAAAAATCCATAAAAAAAAAAAAAAAATTGCAAACAAATACAAACAAACAAAATACTTCCGATTTAGAAAATAATACAGTTACGAAAATGCACACAGCAGCAAGTAAATGTTCAATCCTCGATCAATCCATCGACATAGTACTTTGATTTTATATGAAGAAAACAAAAAATTTCTTGACTTTTCAGACGGCATGCTTTTGTTCTTATGGCAACACAAAGTTAACATAAACACCGCACACTTTGCATAATGCAACTTAAATTCAAGGCTAAAAAAAAACATTTTGGTGAGAAACAACTTATTCAAAGTGTCTGATGGCTAAAAGAGAAGTCACCTTTAATATTTGGTGTCGAACATCATCTTGTTATTGGTGCTGCATAATCCTTTAACCAGTTCACGTTGGATGACGTGTATACACGCAATGGTTTTGTGGTATTTGGAACGGATGACGGATAAACACGCAATGAGCAAGGCCGGAAATATCTGCGACCCGCTCGCGGGGAGCGAGGCCGGAAATATCAGGGTGACGGCCTTAACCCGTCTGGCATCGAGGTTCGTGAAAAACAATCCCGCGCCTGGGTTGGGTCAATGTCAAACTAACCCTGGCGCGAAGTGGTTAAAGGGGCAGTGCCTTGCCCAATAAAACAATGCAATATCTTGTTTCACACACATCGAAATAAATAAAACATAGCAAAGAAAACTGCAAGTGCATAAATTGTAAATAAATTCAAAGACAATATGACACGAAGCTAGCTTGACCATTTGCTTAATCCAGCCGCACTTTTCACTCTCAGAATTTGATATTTCTGTGAAAACAATTATTAATGTATATGCAAAATATTGCTTGCTTGACATTACACTCGATACGAGCCCATTTCAGCTACAAGAACACAACAACTACGTGCATCTTTTCAGCAGTTGGTAACCAGCCTGACTTGCAGACACACAATTAAACTTCCAATTTTGGTTGGTATCCCGTTTCCTTCATTTTGCTTTCAAAATCTCCTGCTTACCGATACATCCGCTTAAACATGTCTGCCATGCTAACAAATACATGTAACACTCACAAGCATATTTAATCTACACGTAAATGCCACGCTGTTACAATGTGTACACACGTCATTTTCTGTCATTACTAATAACTGAACAATTTTTACGTACATGAAGATTTTGAAAATCTCCATGACAATGTTGTATGTCTGTGCTATTTGTATACTTACAAATTGGTATGCATGTACGATGCTAAGTGTTGTACAAAGGGCTATATTTGCAACTCGTGTATGCTGGTGTGTTTTGTATTGGCATAGCCGCCATCTTTGACAAGATGGCGGCATGGGTGGCTATGCAATAATAGTCAAGGCCTACATGTAATTTACAGTGCGAACACGAGCACATGTACATGCACATACTGTTTGGAACTTTATACAGGAATGTCGTTGGGTAACTTAACCAGGATCTCAAACAATGATGTTATTTAACCCTCTTTTTTTTTACAGAAATAAGAAAAATATAAGATTTGACAAAGTACAGGTGAGATTAACTTGTTACCATGCCTACAACAGATCAGGTTGTCAAGATACAAGAGAAACCAGTTTAATCTGGTTGGTGCTAGTCGCGTCGGGGAGAGTGTACAGCAAGTTTGATTAGACAACAGAAATTGTCATCAAGACTTTTTTTTTTCTATTACAAGCACAAAACGCATAATTAGTTTTTTCTTTTTGAAAATATATAAATATTTACACTTTTTATTTATAGTATTTTGGTGATGTTCCGGCTACACCTACACACACACTCGATTTCAAATTAGTTTGTTGCCAAGTTTATTCTGGTTTCACCAATTAATTTTTGTATAAGTTTTATTTTGCAAATTTAGCCCCATTGTTTTTATTATTCTACGTTTCCATTTTTTTCTTCTTAGAGCAAGGCGATTCATAAACATTCAATTTAAATTTCATTGGAATCATTCGGTTCTGATGCGTTAAAAAAAGAAAAAAAATATTCAGAGAGAGAAAAAAAAATAAGTCGGAATATGGCAAATATGTGATTGGCATAGGCTCAATGTGAATTATTTGAGCTGTGGCAGGCAGCCACACACACCTCCATTTGAAGTCCATTCTGCTGCTTTAATAGAAGTGTGTGTAATTGCCGGCATAGCAAAGTGATTTTACAGACCGGTTCACACTTTGTGCAAATGTGGAGCAAATTTGATGCCACGACTCGGAAATGTGTTCAACTTTTGCGAAAACTTCCAATAAGACAGCCCTCCATGCAAAAATGAACACATAATATCAACCAGGTTGGTAGTAGCATAGGCGTAGCGGTTCTTTCCTCGCCTTCCAACATTGTTGACCCGGGTTCGAATCCTGCCTGAACCAAAATGTGGATTGGGTTTTCAGTCCCTGCCTGATTCCGTGGGTTTTCCCCAGAATGTTCTGGGGTTTTTCTCCCACCTCTAAAACTGTAATTTCTTCTCATTGTCTTCTCTCTGCGGGTTTTTTTCAGGCTTGCGAGCTACAGCAGCGCCTAGGGCGCTTTGAGGAATCCCTGGTATCATTACCAGAAATAAAATAATAATAATAACAACAGAATTCAGACCTTCCCTTTACGACAAAATACTGAAACAGTTTTGTATAAGAAATTTAACAGTTTTGTATAAGATATTTAACAGTTTTGTATAAGATATTTTACTTCGAAAAAATAAAACCCCGCTGACTTTGTATGGCCCCACATTCACGGATCTGGTTTCAAAGACAAGGAAACCAAAATACTAGGAAGCACAAGTTAAATTAGATCTCTCTACATGGAAGATTGTAACTAGGACAGCGGCCATTTTGTTTTTTTAAGTGTGTTATTTAATTTGGCATGTGTAGTTACACACTTCCACTGCGACTGGTTAACAGACATTTTTGTTAGACTAGCTAGGTTAACACAAGAGTAAATGTTAACAGAAAGGTTAGCAGACAAGTTGGATTTATTAAACTAGTTAACTAACTAGTTTCAGTTACCAAACTGTTAAAGACATGTATGCTGCGTGCTACCACACCTTATGCAGTCTTATGTACACTTTCCATTTGTTGAACGTTTAAGGTAGCTGATTCTAAGTAAGTAATCTAGGCACACTTTTTTGTCAGCCAAAAAAAAACGAATTTCACTGCACTTCTGTTACTTAATACTTGAAACAAACTGGTTCGTTTAACTTATTAATCTTAGGTTTAAACGTGTTTGTCTTTTGCGTTAGAGAAAGTGTAGAGTATAGTTCAACCAATTTCAAAATTACTCAACCCTAGTCAAAAATATTGACCTCTCATGAAAGTCTCTACAGCCTAAACTATTAAACTTGCTTTTCAGGATTCGGTCAGATTTTTTTATCCACAAATGAAAAGAAGGAATTCCTCTGAAAAGATTAAGACATTTTTAGGAGGAAACTCTTGAACGTGTTCCTGAACTGAACAAGGGTGGAATATCTAACTCACTTATTTAACACCGATTTCAAGCCCAAAAATATCATTAGTAATAGTACCGTAAAAACTTGTTTTTATCATACACTACACACATGCACAACCTCGTACGATCCCACAGCAAACAAGTTTTCATTTTTTTTACTGTATAAAGTTCAAGATTCACAAAAATACACATGACCGTTTGTCTTTAAATCTTTCACTAAAGTGGGAGCATCCTGTAAGTTTGATGCACGCATCATCACTGAATCATGTGAAACTTTTCAATAATAAACTGGACGTTTTCTTGCCCCCAAAAAACGGTAGATTTTTGTTTCAAAAACTAGATTTTTGGTGTTCTTAATAAAGCTTGTTTCAACTGCAATTCTAATTTCATCAAGGTATTGAACAATCTTCGAATTAATTAGATTACTTGAAAAGGAAGTAAACGCAACATGATAAGTTTGGAAACATTTTCCTGAAATATATAACCGTTCTCTAAATCCAAACAGCGCAGAAAATCTTCTGTGACAATGCTGTCCCCTTCAAAAGAGAAACTTAAACCGCAATTGAAATATAGAATTTTTGGTTACTGAAGCATTCAAGTGCACTTATAAACAAATCTTTTAAGCACATCTACAATAACACAAAAAATCAAAAAATACAAGACAAAAACCAGCATAACTTCTTATTTTTTCAATACTAACAACAAACTTTGGTATCTGATATGTAAGCAGAAAGTATAACTTTCTGCAAATGTTGGCAATATCACTGGAGGGCACCGTTTGCTTTTGTACAAAGTTTGAAATATACACGTAACTACAAGACTTTCCCCGATTGGCTTTTTATAGGCCAACGCAAACACAGAGAGAAAACAAAATTACTCACAGTACATGTACAAGAATTGTAAGCACCGCAACGTTTCAAGTTTTGCTATTACACACACTGCAACAGCTAATCTTTTTTGAAGGTTTTTTTTTGACTGATCTGTTACACACAGGGAGCTGATATATGGGGTTTAAAAAAAATGGCATCCACTGGAGATTATAGACCCGTTGCATCTGATGTCACAACTGAGGGCAGGTCTTTGATTCTCTGTGATACGCATGAGAAGACAAGACTTTGTGCTTAAATGTCATTGAATTGAAAAAACAAAGCCTGCCCTCCGTAAGGGCGCATCGTGCAAGGGATCTATGACTCCATATATCAGCTTGACATCAACTGCATGTTGTTTCTAATTCTGTCTGATTAAGGAAAAAATTGTTCCATAGTCCAACTATTGGCTACACTTATGTGAAATGCTGCCTACTGCGACACAGCCTCATTCGGAGCCGCCTCGTCTTTTTCTTCATCAATGGTAAAGGTCAACGACTTCGGGGTCAGGGTCGGTGAGTCCTGGCTGCGTTCCCGGATCATGTGCATGGCCACCGTGCACCACTGGTTCTTGTCGGGGTTGTAGCACTCGATGGTGTCCAGGAAGTGCTTCCCGTTGAAGCCGCCCACCGCGTAGAGAAGGCCGTCGATGAACGTGGCGCCGGCGTTGACCCGCGGCGCGGACATGCTGGCCACGTTGGTCCATTCTTCCGTCTCCGGGTCGAAGCACTCGACGGTGTTCAGCACTGACTGGCCGTCGCTTCCTCCGACGGCAAAGATCTTGCCTGATTGGGGATGATAAAGTGAGAACCGTTTTGATCATTGAGGACCAAACATGAAAATTAAACCTGTGTTACGAAACGTCAGGCCGATTCATGAGGTCAAACCGCAAAACAAATCTTCTCTGCAAAACAGGTTACCAGACATCGAGTCATGCAATGACTTATCCAATAGGCATGGTAAGCACTGTGCTAGGGCCTACGAAAAATTTGGGGGCCTACAAAAATATTTGAGGGCCTACGAAAAATATCACAGTGTGCCATAAAACACCCACACGCACAAATATACGTTTGTTTATTGTGTAAATCGAGGATTTCCCATTGTTCCTCATCATCAATCTTTTGTTCATACTTTAACTTTTTTGCAACAGCTCCCATTGGTTTTGTACACGTTTTCTAATCGAGGACGTCCTCAACTTGACTCCTGTCCTCAATTACACAATGTTTCACATGCGTGTCCTTAATTTATACCATAAACAATCCCCCATACACACACGAGAACATTCTTTTAAAGTTTTAGCTTCTCTCTGAATTTTTGATTTCAGCAACTGATGCTGATGTCGCAGTTAAAAATGACACAACCCTAAATATTGCACATCCCTTCTATGTGAAAAAAAACCTGCTAAGATATGAAGCCACCATAACACCTCTTACATTCCTTACCTTGGTAGGTACAGACGGCCGCGCCTCGTCTGCTGGTGCTGAGGGGCGTGGTCAGGCTCCACATGCTGCTCTTGGGGTCGTACACTTCCACCGAGTTGTGACAATTCCAGTTGTTGGACCCGCCCACTGCGAAGACCTTACCATTCAGAGAGCACACACCCACCTGTGCTCGCCCTAAAAAGCGTGGGGAAAAAAAAGAAAATCTCAACCTATTCTTAACCTTCCACGATTCCAATCTCAATCACAATAACCATCTGTACCCTCACGGGACCCATTTACTCCTGGGTGGGGAGAAGCAATAAGTACAAGGCGCCTTGCCCAAGGGCACACGTACCACAACTCCAGGCTGGACTCGAACCCACAACCTGCAGAATTACCCGCAGACCACAAATTCAATGCTCGACCACGGCACTCCACTCAAACGTTTACAATGGTTGCACACCGGAGGGTTTTTGGAGGGTTCTAAAAATGCTCGTACCAAAAAATTTGCTTTAGGAGTTAGTAGTCAGGAATTGGGTAGAATCCAAAAATCATTCTTTAAAATCTAAAAATCTACTGAAATTCATTGAGTGTTTACAGTGAAGATGAAAAACTCATGAATGATTCAAGAATGCAGAAACTCTGAAGTGGATTATTAAGGTCAACTTGACTTACTCTGGTTCATTTTGCTGATGGATATCCATGCGTTCTTGTCAGGGTGGTATACGTCGCAACTTCTGAGACCAACGTTGCCGCTTGATCCACCAATCAGATACAATTTGCCATCCAGCACAGTAGCTCCTGTGTATAAAAAAAACCCCGCAAAAGTGAATATTACTATGCATAATACATATTTATAAGCCAAAAGTCAATATTACAATGTGTCAGGGAAGTAAAAGCTGTCCCACACGTTGCGAAATATGTTCTATCGCCCAATCGGTCAGTAGTACTACGGTGTAGTATCCCAAGATCAGTTCACTAGACTCCAAACCATGCAACAGTAGGGATCGCAAGTCACGTTGCTGGTGTAAAAATACTAAATGACAGACATATTATGGGCATTCCATGGGAGGGGTTTTCCACGGTATTACATATTTTTGATTATAGAAACTAAAAATATCAGCCAATTTGGACTACCCCATGTGTCGGCCATTAAAAAAAAATTAAACAACGTAATAACAGACGACTCAGGAAGACCGTCGCCTTTGTTGTGAACGTTCACCAACATTGGTGGCAAATAGTCGGCCCCACCTGTGCAAACATTTGCAAACGTTAGCAATGTTCGTGAAAGTGGAATGCTCCCCAGGCTTCACTAGCAGCTGAAATCTTCTGAATGCGCCAACGATCCCTCACCTGAATTCGGTCTCTCCTGTGGCATATCCACCACCCAGGACCACTCATCCTTCTTTGGGTCGTACACCTCGCAGGTCTTGAGATCCATGTGGCCGTCGGAGCCACCGGCTGCGTACAGCTTGCTGCCGACGACCCCAAACTCAAAGCGGGCCCGCGGGGTCTGCATGGGGGCGATCTTGTCCAAGGTGTTAGTGTGGGGGTCGTAAACCTCCACGGACTGGTGGCATTCGTCCCTGTTGAAACCGCCTGAATTTTGCATTTTGAAGAAACAAAAAAAAGTTGCAGGTCATTTTTGAGTTTGTTTAAGGAAGACCCACGGGTATGTACCCGGGGGTCGATTTCCGCTTAGCAAATAAGCAACTATCTGCTTAGAACTGGATGAAGATAAATCTTTAAACACAGGAGCAAAATTGCACATCAGACATCTGTGGGAAAGTTGTTTTGATGCTTCACAATGTAACAGGGTCACATTAAAATTTTGATAAGTAAAGACTCTTAAAAATGATTCCATCGTAAAAACTTGAAAAGTGTCAATTTATCCAAAATGTTGGGATTCAACCTCTGTTGGCCTTTGACTTGTCCACTCTCTATCTTTTTAAACTGGAATCTAAATAGTATGGCATCTTGACTCTTAATCATGTCAATGAAAGTGAGCAAATTGAAAACAGATTGAAATTTGAAATTTAATTTACATTTTAACCCAAGTCAAATTCCAACTGGTGCAAGGGGCTTCATTTTTATCCAGTCTTTCACAATTTTGCCACAAAGAAAACAGATGCAATTGGTGGTAGTTTAAATTTAAAAAATGACCTTCTATTCTTGTTAATTTTGAATGCTGTCGCAATCCCCTCACAAAACTCACCCGCTGCAATTAGTTTCCCGTCCAGCTTGGCCACTCCCACTGCACACCTGGCCTGTTCCAATGTGGCCAGAGAGGGGTGGATCCCTTCGCTCTCGATGGAGAAAGATCTCTTCTGTATGGGGCGGCTGATCTGGGGGCTGCTGGGCTTCTCGTACAGCATAATGACAAAGAGACTGCCGCCGAGATTGGCGATAGCAATGTAGCGATTGGCTGTTCAAGAAAATTTGGAACAGTTTCTAACTAAAAAACAACCCTAATTATTCGTAACTTCAACCATTAAACTGTCATTCGCCTGAATTCTCCAGGTTTACTTGGCAAGGTATCTTTCTAAATCCTACAAATTACTCTAAACCTCCGATTGGAGTGTTCATTTATGACAAACTCAGGATGTTTCCAAGCAAAAAGCCCAAATTTTGGAACATTTTTTTTTTAAATTGAACAGAAATTATGAACAATTTAGTATGAAGAATGTTAACTTACTTTTTAAACGAAAAAATTGAATGACAGTAAGGCAAAGTAAAAAAAAAAACATGTTTCTCGTCCCCGCCCACTTCCTTTTTGGAGGCCGCCTAGATTTTTTTATTATTTTTTATTTTTGAAAAATGCAGTAAAAAACACTGAAAAAGTCAAATGCATCTAAAACTGTTCATTGTAGACCAATACAACTCTAAAAGACACTGTTAATATGTTCAGTTCTCTTGTCCAACTTATCTTTCATTTTAAAAGTGTCTTTAAACAGTGGAAACACCAACAGTTGCAGGAAATTTTAAAATGGCGACCATCTTGAAAAAAATAAAAATTAAAAAATAAAAAGCCCCTCTTCTTTTTTTTCAAAAACCCGGACGAGAAACATGTTGTTTTTTTATTCGGCCTAACATTTGGCAATTTTCATGGAATTAAGAACCACAGCATTATGTCGTGCATATTAATCTTTTATTAATTTTTTGCAGGTTTGGGAACATTTTTTGTAATCTGGCACAAGTGAATATTTCTGCCCTGAAATCCTCACCTCCCATTTCTGTGGATGCCACAATCTTCCACTTCTCGATCCGCGACCGGGCCTTGTTCAGATCCTCGGGGGAGAGCACCAGTTTCTGAGCGGGACCGTTGTTGGTGTCGGTCTTGGGCCCTTTGCCGTTGCTGACGCCATTGCTAGGGGGCTTGGCCGGGGAGATGAGAGGGCAACGCTTGGCGTCCAGCTTGTAGTCCTTGATGAGGTCCGGCTCAATCTCGCCAAACTCTTCCACGTCCTTCAGGGTGTTGTTTTCTGAGAGGAGGAGCGTCTGAGGCTGAAAGGGGGGAAAAAAAGCCAAATAACTCTTGAATTTTTGAAACAAGTCTGGAGTGCTCATAATAACAAAGCTGACAACACAGTTCTAATGAACACATCAAGTTCATCATGTTCAGTACTTTTGGGTAGGATCCTGTTTCAAATGCATGCTCCGAGATGAGTCCTCCATGTTGGCTTCAACCAACTCTATGGTCATTGCCCTTGTGTCCCTAAGCAAGATATTTTACAGCAATTAATTGTCTGTACATACAAACAATGAGTTTGTACGGCTATATTTAGCGAGTAAAACAAAGAATGGTTCATTCATATTTGGTGGAAATTCAATTTGAAATTTTAAGAATGAAGTTTCCCCTCACTAAAAAAATTGTTTAGGAAGATTCAATAATGTCCAAACAACTGACCTCTTGTTGTAAATCTTCCAGTTGCTTGCCGTATTTGACGGTTCGGCGGATCCAGTCTAGGGCGGTCTCAAACAGCTGTCGGTCGCTCATTTTGGATGCAGACTTGGTAGCCACAACCTCAATCTATAGAGTAACGGTTAATGAACCTTCATCATATATGACCCATGACGTTTTGACATTGATCACAGTAAAAAAATTGATCACAGTAAAAATATCAAAGGGAAGGAGAAAAATATCAAAGGGAAGGACAACAAAACAAAACGCCAAAACAGATGTACTCAAGCAGGGTTGGAAACGATGAATAATTTTCAACAAAATGTAATATATGTAAATAACTCGGTTTTTCTTTGTTATATTTACATGTACATAAAATGCAAACAAACAACTCAAAAGATAGTGTGTGTTTTGTGAAAATTGTATTGTACACATTATACCTCTTCTGCAAACATACATTCTGTGCCAAGTTGTCCTTTCGGTAAAAATCAAGTGACTGTTTTCAACAGTTAAGAGCTCCCAGTCTACATAAAGCAGGATTGACTGGCTGTGACTGCTTATGTAACTTGATACATCTGTGCTTTGACTGTAGGTGATTGATAAGACAGCTGTGGACTCAGTTTCCTGCTTTTGTGTGTTGACTGAATTTGACTAGTCAGAGTTCTTGATTGAAATATGATCTGACTGTTTGTGACTAGCCTGTGTAAAAGGCATGACAGGGGAAGTGGATGGAACTTTTGCCTGTTTGTGACTGTTTAAACAGTAGGAGAGTTAAACAGTGTAATGATCGAAGAAAATCATCACTATATTTTGCAGAAAAAAAATTAGTTACGTTCATGTAGGCCTACATGTACTTTGAATAAAGACAGTATCTTTACATTGTATGTCTGCTCTTATGTGGTCATTCACTGTTTTATATGTTACCAAAGCGTATCCCAGCACATGAACATTTCTCATGCGAAACAACAATCTAAAAATACAAACTTCAGACAAGCAGGCTTTCAATGTTTTCTTCTATATGCTAGTCACCATGGATACCTTTTGCGGCTCCTCAAATGAATAAACCAAGTCCGTTTCCATAGTAACATGCATAGCGCTACTCCAAAGATTACCGCCAAAGAAAACTACGCGTTGTTTTCTTTCAGCAATCACAAATTTTTTTCAAGCAATCACAAAAAAATGATGATCGTGACAAATAATATGTACTGTGATAACACACATGAGACCTTACATATACCTATACTTCTGCGATAATAAAATAACATTTGCTGATTTTGTTTGATTACTCCATCAAAAGGGTAAAAATAGAAACTCTAATCATATCTAAATGTCAGGCGGTCCTCCAGTAAAGCTTCAGAAGCCACTCAGGAAACAGGAACAAAAGGGACTCAGGGGATTTAATAACACGACAGCTGATAATTGACTTTTACGGGAAAGCTTTAGTGAAAAAGCTAAAAGCTTCTTTATTATTTTTTAAAATTTTGGGATGTATCATGTTTGTATATTATTCACGAGCATACAAATTATTTATCTCCGTGAACATGCAGAGTACAAAATGTTTTCACGACAAGAAAATCTAATGGAGCTGCGAAACAAAGACATGTAATAAGCACAGAAATGACAGTTAATTTTATGACGCCGATAATAAACGTTTTTATTGAAAGATCTCTAGGTCATTTTTGCAATTCAGGATGAACCCATTCCTATGTCCAAATTATCAAAGTGCATTCAAAATTATTTGTCCGAATATACAATCACTGTACAATTCTTTTCATAGTGAGAAAAATTCATGGCGCTGCAAAGCACAGTAATTTTAGGCCAAAAAAAATTTAATAAAAAATTGGTTTGAAGTAGCCTCACCTATATTTGTACCTGGTTTTTTTTTGCGCCCGAATTGCTGACCTCAAACTTTTTATTGCCACATTTGGCCAAAAACTTCAAATAAGGCCAAAAAAAAAAAAAATACTCGGTCTCTGGTCAGTGCGCGCGTCGGTTTTAATCATGCGCGTCAACCTTCTTTTTTTTCTTCAAATTAACCTGGAAGCTACAACAGCGCCCTCTATTGCCGCGCCTCCTCAAATTTTTGTACCAAGGGGGGCACCAAGGAATGGGGAAATTGCACCAAGGCAAATGATAAAGGGCACCAAGGCAAATTATGGAGGACACCAATGTATAATGAGGACACAAAAAAGCAAGCTTGAAAAAAAAAAAAGCCACCAAAAAAACAAGCCGCGTCGCCGCATCAATTCCGGAACTTCGGTCTGACCAGAGACCGACTATATTTTTTTTGGCCCAACGTATGTGGGAAAATTAAAGTCTTCCATATGTGAGTTTTTGTGTGTTGTGTAATTAAATAATAAGACAGGAACCTGCAGTTACAAAATAAACTTATTTTCCTACTTCACTACCTGGATAATTGTTTTTTTTTTCTTACCAAAAATACATGTAGGTTACCAGCCAAAATGTTATGTAACGTATACTGTTCATGACTGGTACTCTGCTGATTCAGCAGAGCATACAAAACTTGGGCCTACACATGTTATATAATACAGATTTACTGATTGATTCGAGGAAAGGAGGTAATTTACCTGTAACCGTGGCAACTCCTGAAACTCATTTGTCAAGGCGACGTTGTCAATGTTCTTTTTCAGGAAGTCGTCCACAATGGAGACAAACTCCACATCCTCCTCCGCATTGCCGAACGAACGAAGTTCTAGAAATCAGGAAATTAAAAATATATAGGACAATGAATTAAAGGAACTCAAGTGCAAAGTCAGAAGGAGTTATGTTTTTAGCCTGGGCCTTAAAGACAGCTTTACACTTTCATTACAAGACCGTTTTTTAACATTGCCTCAAAAATTAATTAATTAATAATCTAAAATGTATCTACATTAAATTACGTTTTATCATACCTCAAATTTCTCGAGGCTTTAAAAGCTTTTCATTTCGAAAAATTTAATTTAAACTTAAATCATCCAAAATAAAAAACAAAAGGGAAAAGCAGAAAGTTGTTCTGCGCCAGCGGCCTCGTTGTCACCAATCGGTTAAAAAAAACCTTCTCTTCGTGTTTTAAAAACAACCAACATAACAGGCTCTCAGCCAATTGTATAACCCTGAAATCCGACACTACAATGAAATGCAGCCACACTTGCTATAACATAGCGATAGTGTGCTAGCCATCAAGTGAATTTGGTACGCTTTTTGAGGAGTTATGAACCAAAAATAGTGGTGTGTTTTATAGTATCAAATAGAATTAACGAAATAGAAATTTAATAGAAAATAGAATATGATATGAACAGCAATTTAAACCAGAAATGAAGGCCAGTTCGCACCTTATGCATATGCCAATGCAAAATTAATTTGATGTCACGACACATTCACCCCGAAATTCGACGAGACGTCACGAATAGCAGTCCGCACTAATGACGTCAATTTTGCTTCGCACCGCACGCGCGCATACCCCAGATGTCAGACAAACTTTCGAACAATCACACGCGCGCACATGCATGCACATCTGGCCGCATACATCGCATAGAAACGGTGTTACAAGCGTGCGCGTAATCTTCACACGAGAAGTTCGTACAGCATTCTTGTCTGAGATCCGGGTACTTGCTTCTAATTCTAACATTAGTGCGGAGTGCTATTAACCTTAGCGCTCGCTTTCACACCAAGTATGAATTAGGTTTAATACAAGCAGTTAGCCTTACCTAGACAATTCTTTGGGTTGAGTTGTTGCACGAGGTGTCGAGCACACGCATTCTTGACGCGGGCCATCTGTAACTGTTTAGCGGCTTGGTAGACCGTCTCGACTTGACAATAGGGTACCTCCAGTCTGCAGAAAAGTCAAACACAAACAGACTTGGATTAAGAACAAAAAATACAGTCAACATTGCAGACTGTTGACAATAATCCATAATGCGGACTCCATCCAGGCTTGCAACTGGGAATTTAGGGAAAAAAACAAAGAAATTCCTAAGCACTCAAGACTTTGTACAGTGTTTTCAATATTTAATGGCATTCATGAGAACTAAAAAACGAGGAAATCAGCGGATCTGAGGAAAAGTTGCATGCCTATCCATCACGAACAGTTGATGGCGCTTTGCGACTTCATTTGAAAGTCCCAGAGGGAGGAACAAACCGCATTTACGTACTGGTTTGTGCGCATATGGCACGAAGTACGCTTATTTTATTCTGGAAGTGCTCAAACTTGTGTCTCTGCATGAGTGTCAGGCGCCATCGGCAATGGGTTCAAATTTCTCTTCAAGTGGTTCCCCCAACTCTCCAATGCAATGAGGGGATACTTGTGACGCCTATCGTATAGCCTATTCCTACGTTGTAGCAATGGTCAGAATAGAGCTATGTGCATATTAGATGACAAAAATCTAAATTGCTGTACAAAATGTAGCCAACAGGATGCACTCATGTTTGGGTACAAACCTTAGACAAAATTTGAAAGTTTGTACAACTTTTGTACAGCTATTTGTGAACCTGCATTTGCACTCAAAGCCAATGTGTAAATGAAGCCCATACTCCCGAAACTGAAATGCACAGTCACTAAATGAGCGCTTTGTTGCACTCTGCTCAAACAGCGCACACATGCATGTGAAAGTTTCTATTTTTTTCTTCCCTTCACACTTGTGAAAAAGACCACCCATGCAACGTCTTGGTAGTGCCCTCGCGTGACATTTAGGGCTTATCTAGTTTCATTGTTTTATGACCACACACATTCATTAAAAAAATTCTGTGCCCAGGATGCTGCAAAGTACTCTCTGCGAGAAACGAGTTTAGTACTCTAGTAACGAAACACAACTCTGCAGTCACAATTCAGTTCACGTGGTTCTTACCTGCCAGTGTAGGCATAGTTGACCAGCAACTCCACGGCAGCCGGATTGACGTTCTCCAGATGGTGCTTCAATGGAATGGCGTCGTTCTCGCTGCTCAGCCCCTTGTAGAAATCAAACAGGAATGGACTACTGCAGGCCAGCACGGCACGGTGGGCGGGCACAATGTGGTTCTCAATGGACAGGTGGACGTCGGCAAACTGGTACTGCTTGCGCAGTTCGTTCAAGTAGGCCATTACGGCGGCCGGGCCCGTGTCGTCCTCGTAGAATAAGGGCTGATCGGAGACGACGGACTTCCGATCGTCTGTTTGTGGGGAACGGACGAGAAAATGGACATTGTTGCATGCGACATGAAATGAAAAATAGTTGTCGCTACACGACTTGACTGATCAAACATAGCCTGTACGCTTGAGTTGTCACTTTGTGGTGTTGAACCTATGCATCACTTTAAGTTGCAACCGACCACATGTTTGATGAAGTCTAGAGAAAAAATAATTACGTCGCCTAAAAAAACCCTTTATTTTGGTTTTAAGTGAAGGAGACTTCTGAACTTCTCAGCAGACATCAGCCCGAACAGGCTTCTCAAATGGCCTCAAACAGATGTGAGGAATTTCATCTAGGTCCTGTCAAGACCAAAGATGGGAGGAAATGTGAAGAAGAAAATGGACGCCCTCTCCCATGAAATCAGTCGTAGTGGAACGTGCTTGACGCTGTCCCCAACGGGAATAACTAAATTGATGGAAACTGTTATTTCACTGCAGACATTCAATGTTACTATTAAATCCAAGGAAGATTTCCAAAAGAAAAGTCTGCTTCAAAGCTTCTGTGAACTATTATTAATGCTCCGCTTTCCGCCTAAAAAGTACAAAACGTTATATAAAGGTAAAAAATACTCTCAAACTTAGACATTTTATATTCAAGTACTGAAATAGTTACATGTAAATACAAGATCTGAAAGACTGATAGGGAAACCATTGAGAACAGATTAAAGTTAACTGGCTCCAAATTATAAAAAGAAGCTTATTATAAAATACTGGACATATTTATATTTTTTCTCTGCTAACTAAAGATTATCCATCTTTTAAGTTTTAGGGGAAAAAATCAACTGTTAAAAGAAAAAGATTATTACAAATTGTGTTAATAATCACAGAACTACCCTTCCATTTTTGTTTACTTAAAGAGTCGGTATTTCTCCAGCTGTTTATGTTATTCAAGTTTGTCAATTCAAGATGTCCCCGTCTGATTTTTGCTCTTTCTATTAACCATCATCCCCTTGACCTTTTTCATCTTTTTCAAAGTTTCACGCTGCTCGAGTGTAGCCTCTTTTCCAGAATGTAATTAAAATTCCACGTTTACCCAAGCTTTCCAGATGCAGGTTCGCAGTCCCCTCAAAATGAAGAGTTGGCCGAATCGGTCAGTTACCGTGACAACACTGACAGGCTAAAAAAAATAGGATGTCTAATGAGCCGCAAAGACTAGACGGCTCAACTTTTGGTGGCGTTTTGACGTCTTGAATATGATGGCCTTCAAAATTCTATTTGAAAACAAATTGACTTGCTGTGGCATTTGCGAGAACGACGCATTAAATGACCTGACTGTTGAGGTCCATGTTAAGTGATATGATGTTGGAATTACAGTTTTGCTGACGGTAATCCAATATACGTGTATATTTATTTTCTCGGAGCAGCATCTGTATAAAATGGAGTATCAGCTTTCTATCTCACTCGTTATTATTTCTGCAAGTCAATTATTACTAAGACAACAAATTGAAAACAAAATAAAAATTTGACTTTTTTGGCCAATATAAACACTCCATGGTCAAAGGGCTAATTCATGTATGTACATTTTGTTCAATGAAATGCTGATATTGGGTAAACTTGGACAAATATGTTCGGCCAAAACTTTAAGAGGTTGTGGAATGCTCGAAGACATTGCCGTCATTTTTCGGGTATATGTAGCCTAAGGTGTGATGACATAAAAACGACTATTGTTTCTGTCATAAAATGAGTACAAAAGGTACTTTTGAGAGCTGTTTTTCAAGTCCTGTCATGCCTGTTTCGACCCGAACGTGCAATTTGTGTAAAAGTCGTCGTTGCGGGCAGCAAACAAAACACAGTAAATCGTGACGTAATAAACAGGACTCCCGATGCAGAGTAGCATAAACGAGTCCTGTTTATTACGTCACGATTTACTGTGTTTTGTTTGCTGCCCGCAACGACAACTTTTACACAAATTGCACGTTTGGGTCGAAACAGGACCTGAAAAATAGCTCTCAAAAGTAACCTTTGTACTCATTTCATGACAGAAACAATAGTCGTTTTTATTTCATCACACCTTAGGCTACATATACCCAAAAAATGACGGAAATGTCTTCAAGCATTCCACAACCTCTATATACATGTACATAAATGTATACTCTGGTGCATACATTGTACATGTATAGTGCACACAGTAGTGTGTATATTACATGTACTGGGTTCTTTCACATGAACATTACTACTACTTATACATTTGAACATGTACCTCTACACGAACACAGGCACAGGCACGTATGCACAGTGTAGATATACCCGGTACGTGCCTGGTGACATGTCGCAATTACTGCGTGTCGAGCAACTGCAAAAAAAGGTGTGTGCACACTGCACGCACACACGTTGGAGATAAAACTCCAAAATCGTACTGCTGCTAATATCACTTGGTCAGGGCCATCAGTATTATCTTATTGATTAGCGAGCGGGGAATTACGGAGACAGGCAGGAAAGAATCTCATACGAAGCGTGGGTCGTAGATTAATTCTGTGAATCCATGTGTGCCAGTGAAGCGAATGGGGAAAACATCATCATCAACGTAATGGAGTGGTGCATTTGTGCATCTCATAAAAGCAGTGCACATTAACTGTTCTGCTCTTTGGGGGTCATGACAAAATTAATATCCTTTCTCCTTAACAGTCTTTTAGCTATTCGCACAAATCATTCGGCAAGTCGGTATTCATGTTCAAATCTTTATTAAAGAACCAACGCAGAGCAAGGGCAAAACCTAATTTGATTTATATCACCCCAACGCAAAAAATTCCATTTTATAATAGTTTATGCGGTACCCGCTGCCATGTACATCAGATTCGAACCAGCCAACCGATCCCGTTAGCTCGCTGGTCGAGTGGTAATCTGCACTAGAAAGCAGGAGGTCGTGGGTTCGAGTCCCACCTGAGCGATTTTTTCCAACTTTCACTCGGGAGGTAACACACTGAGTATACAGTGTTTAAAACGTCGGTGAAGGGCAAAACCTAATTTGATTTATATCACCCCGACGCAAAATTCCATCTTATAACAACACAGAGCATTTTTATTTTGTAATTTCAAAAATAGCTAAATAAACTCCTCGATTTCAAAGCTTGATGATTCTAGTCAGAGTGTGGTACATATCATCGTGTCCGTGCAACAAGGTCGTATCTCCTAAATTGGCGTTTGACGTCATGTACGTGAAACGTGAGTTTTCAATGTCAAAAGGTCGTATCTCGCTTAAAATGACCAAGATGTACACACAAAGTCAATGGACGTCGTGATAAGCGAGATACAACCTTGTTTCACGTAGCGTACTTGCGCGAGATACGAGTTTGTTGCACAGACACGACGATATGACATACTGTACTGTAGGAGATTAAACCATTTCTGAAACCCTGACTCTGAGTTTGGGCTTTGGATTTAAATGCCTTGGTTACAGAAGGCTTTGGTACTATCCCATTTTTTTGGGGGGGGGGGAGGGGGCTGCACCAAACAATCTGTAATATTAAAGTCATTTGTGAAGCTAAAATTAGTTATTTGATTTCTATATTTATCGCTTAAACAAGTACATGAATGGCAATGAAGCAGGAGCCAAAGCTGGAGTGGATGCCACTGTTTCAGAAATGGCTACAAGTGTAACATTTCAATCAGAATACACGTAGGCTGGTATCAGCACAACCCTTCAAGATTTTATGCACTTGCACCATTCCTTTAATTTCAAGAGTTCAGGAAACCAGACATGTCCATCTACTTACTGTAATTTTACTTACCTGCCTGTTTGAAAAAGAACAACTTTCTGGTCATATTTTTACCAAACTCTGTCAAATTAACATGCATATTATTATCATTATTATTGCTATTTTTTTATAGGGTTAGAACTAGATTGCAAACATTGTGGCACAAATCTGAAATTGGGGAATACAAGGGAAACAATTGAGGGGGAGGGAAAAGTTTGGGAAAGTTGGTGAGGCCAACATCCAGGAAGCAAATTGCAGTACGTACTGGCAGCCAATTTTTACAACCAGTGGTTGCGGCCATGTTGGAAAATGATTTGCAAAATTCCTCCTTACTAAAGATTAACTCAAAAAAAAATACACCTTGGCTTAGAAAATAAAGGCAACCGTTTTGAGTCCCACCAGCGAGTTTTGGATTCAGCCAGCCATCAAGTACGCAGTGGCAGCCATCTTGAAAAATACTTCCAAAACAAAAAGCTTGTTGAAGGAAAAAAAAAGGGATGGAAATCACACACACACCAAGGCTAACGATTATTGTTAGGAAGCTGATTTCAGTCCCCGCCTGCCAGATTTTGGGATTTCAGTCAGCCAGCCATCAAATACGCAGTGGCAGCCATCTTGGAAAATACCTCGCAACTACCGGTATGCTCCTTTTTTTAAGATGAGGAAAATAGGAAGAGAGGTAGAGAAAAAAAACACACCATGGGATCTCTTGGACTGCGGTGCTTGCGTGCTGCCGTTATTTGTTCGTAGCGACGACGGGCCGTTCTCGTCTTGAAAAACCATCCCTGCAAATTAAAGAAAAACACCGAGAAAGATAAAATAAACAAAAAACACGAGAGAGATATGTGAATAGGGTGCATGCAAGACTACCACTAAATTCCAGAGTGAAATGTGAGTCAAACAACAATGGCAGAAACATAAGAATTATCGATGTTAGACAAACTTTTTTAAAAATGTACAAGGGGGCATCTTAAAGTAAACCCTTTTGTGTAACATAATTACAAGAAAATACAACATGATGCAAGTACTTGTTACCATCTTCAAAGTAATGCAATCACACTGTCCACATGTACATGTACAACCTGTACATGTTCATTTATAAGCAGTGGGAAACTCTTGAGAGCTGGAAATATAACAGATTACTGAACAAGGGAAAAACATTTATGGAACTATAAACTTCTCAGAAAGAAAAACACAATGCATAGAAACCTGAATTTTTTTTTTTTTTTTTTTTTTTTTTACATTTTCATCATTTCTAGGCACACAATGTGTCAGATACATGCATGTACCGGTATGCTTGAGGCTTCTAAGAACCAAGAACACATCATTTATTGACAACAAAACGTCTCCTTTGAGGACAACAATGAAATATTCTTCCCTTGTATTATTGTCTTGGTCGACATGTAATGCGATCTGAATATGCCACATACCATACATACACAGTTTAACAAACATTAGAAAACACAGACTACATAAATAGTTTACAGGAAACAAAATTAATTTGTGTTTGTCTTCCTGCCCAGGATTCATGACAACATTCCTGCCTGCGTCAGCTCACGGAACTACACTCGATAATTCTTTCAATTTTTTTTACGTTATTATCTTACAGGCTTGAGTTATGTATACATGTATGTACATGTACAATGTAAGGGCCTGCAAAGTTACCGGTAGAGTGCATACATTTTATTTTTACGAACCTTTTTGTTATGTAAGAGTTGGTATTAGCATAAATACCGACTCCCTTTTGTATGTGGTTTTGCTGTACATTGTCAGACTTCGTTAAAGAAAGTTGTGGGTATGTCTTTTCCATTTAAATCATTTCAAGCTGCATTCCCTGTGTTATTTCAGAGTTTTGGCATGAAAGATAGATTCCAATACAAAAGTAGCATTCACTTTTGATTGAATAGAGTGATTGGGTAGGCTGAATCCCGCCCTCAATAATGTAAGGACCGGGAACCAGTCTGCTGGAAAAGTGAATAGTCCTGTTTGAGCCCAAAATAAAAACCCTTTTAAGAGGACTGTAGATGCCAAAAGAGAAAAACAGAAGTTTCTTTGGCAGGAATCAAACAAAACAAGTTGAACAGTTATGAATATAATTTATTAAAATCAAATACATGTATGTTGAAAAGCACAGGGAAGTGACTTTTGAGTTATGGGCCCAATTCCTGAAGACGCTTCGCAAACATTTGTGGGAAAGCATTCGTGCGCTTAGAATCAGCCAAAAACTAGACACAAGCAATTACACATATATAGGTCCTCAAATCTGCCATGAATTGAAAAACAATTTGTCAGAGTTGCTGAAGTTCCATGCTTTTAAAGACATTTTCATTCCCAAATCGGGTGTCCAAAAAAGCCTACAGGGTTTACAAGAGATACCAAGACAACCCTCACACTAAAACCAAGTATACCGGTACATGACGTGATCACATTCGCCAAACAAATTCTCTTCTGTTCTAATAGAAAAGTTTGTGGAGAAAGTAACGACACAGAATTTCCCTCTGAATATGTATGATACATCAACAATACTTATTTGAGGGGTAGGAGGTGGGAACCTACCAGACACCCCCCCCCCCCCTCGTACTTGACACCCCTCTCCCAACATCCCCACAGAAAGCACCTGCAAATCTTTTCAATCAATTCTTTGGCAACTGACAAGAACATAAAAAAAAACAAGGTGACCTCTGCCACCCTTTTTTTTTCTCAACGAAAACCTGACAACCATGAGCAACTTGGGAGAATGCACGTACACAACGAATCAGTCTTGGGCACCTGTGTAAGGCAGGAGACATACACATGTACATGTAGCTAAAGGCCTTCACTGTACAAATTAACAAATAAATAATATGGCAAGTAAAAAAGACAAGTACATGAAGTTTATCTTTTAAATGAAGGAGGCAGGCGCTTCCCCCGACCCTTTTCCCCACCAAGATGGCCAATTTTCCAAGAAGGCAGATGGATTCTTCAATTTTCTTGACTATTTTGCTGATAAAAATTGCATCCAAAAGGAGCCATGTAGTTGATGTCATCAGAAAACAGACCAGCTTTGTCAAACAAATGTTTTTCACATCATTTAAAGGGAATATACATCATTTGCTTTTGCTGTAATTTTCAGAAATGGATGGAATTGGGGGGTTGGAAATATATAGCAAATATAGTTACACTGACTTTTTTGAGGTTTTGGGTTCAAAAATGCTATAAAAACCAAGAAAAACAATCATTTTCCTGTAGTCTGGTTCCCTGACTCAATTTAAGAAGAAACAGAGCAGTTTACATACATTGGGGAATTGTAAGGTCAGGGAACCAGTCTAGCTGGCTTGTACCCGTTCATATGTGTGTAATCGATTGCAAACAAGTGCGATGGTCAACTGGGGCCAGTATTTGAAAAAAGGCCAGTTTTTTTCCAACGCTGATCGGCCGATCAGCGTTGGAAATTTATACAAAAATACCACTTTTCTTGAAAATGACAGTATACCAAGGTGCCATGATTTTACAGGATGCTTTACACTGTCATTCACTAACAGTCCAGCAAGGTATTTCAAAATGATTTGGTAGTTTTATTTTTTGATGTTTGCAAATGTTGTATTTTCCCTTTAAATATTGAACAAACCATCACAAATGTGAAGAGAAGTCATTTCAATTTTTTTTTTAACCACAAACACTGCAAGGAATTGCATCCAAAGCTGAATTCCACTTTGTGAGAGCACGTTCGTTTGTAACATCCCTTTTAAAACCCACTAGCCTTGATGCTGATGTACACACATCAGGAGCCCTTTTCAGCACGGAGAGCAATCTCTCCTGCATCACCGAAGGCCCCCGAAAAGACTGATCAAAACCTAAAAGCAAACTGGCGCCCCGCGTCCGTGTAATGGAGACATATTGGCTGCTGAATCCATTATGCACTTCAAAATTGAAACGGTTCTGCGCCCAATACACCTGCGTTCCATACAAGGCCTGCGAGTTACTCGCCGAAACTGAAATCACTGAACGAGATTATGTAAAATTAAATCTTGTCTCAATCAAGTTCTTTTATGAATGCTCAAGATTCATTCTCAATCTACTTCAAAAGGAAGTTATTTTTTTTAAAGTTTTTTCTTTGGTACATTGTTAGTGTAGTTACATTACCCACTTTAAAATTGAAACGGTTCTGCGCCTAATACACCTGCGCTCCATACACAGCATGAGAGTTACTCGCCGAAAACTGAAATCACTTAACGAGATTACGTAAAATTTCATCTTGTCTCAATCAAGTTCTTCTATGTATGCCCAAGATTCATCCTCAATGAACTTCAGGACGAGGTTATTTTTTAAAAGTTTTTTCTTTGGTACATTGTTAATGTAGTTACATGTTAATGTACCGGCAAGTGATACTTTTTTAAAAGTGGACAAATATCCTTATGTCAACTAGGTTTTGCTCACAAAGGAATTCATGAACAACTTAAGAAGAACAGGCAGGATAAAAAGGGATGCCACTTTTTTCCATTTAAATTTCTTCGAGTTACATGTACATGTATGCATCTCAAATGATGTTCATTACTTTTTTGATCTACTCGTGATACAGAATTGGGAACCCTTTTTTTGGTAAACCATTTCTAAACCTTCATACATGAACATCACATTAAATTAAAATCCTGTTGTCTGGTTGGATTAAAACAGATTTTAAAATTATCTCAAGGGCAGTATCAGTGGTCTTTTGATATATATCCAAAACAAAACAAAAATTGGCGATCGTGAAATGTAGGGCCCCTGTTTTGCTTTGATCAAATTAGAGTCAAAACTGTTTTTTATTGCTCAAAAATCACCTTTACAATCAAAAGCAGACTTTTCTCAATTCTAATGACAACCGTTTTGCAATTTTGAACAGATTCTTGGGGTAGAAATCACGATTTTCCTGCGCGGTTTGTGCCTTGCGATTCAGCGAGCCGTGCGTGCTCACGGTACATCGCGCGGTGATCGCCATCTTTATTTTCGGGTCACGTGTTGTCACCGCGCTGTCATCGTCATTTTACCCCCAAATTTCCCTCAAAAAATCAAAACCATGCCATCTTTCTCTGACATACCTGTTTATTGAGAATGTCACCAACTAGTTTGGTAGGTCCAATAATTCTAAAGTGGATTTTGTTCCCTTATACTAGGAACCGGGCCCAACACTACACGATCGCCCAAAAATCAGTTGGTTTTAAACTTACAAAAGAAATAGAAATGACTGAAATGAAATGTAGTATGTATGAATTTAATTCCAAAGAAATGTTTGCAAATTTATATAAATTTATGCACAACGTCATTGACTGCTTTCTTTTGCAGTCATTAACTAAAATTCTGCCAAACATAAAGTATTATCTGAGCGATGTTCCCAGCTGCTCAGACCTCTCAGACGTTGACGTTATATTTCAGTCACCGGGTGAAGAAGCAGGAATGCAGATCCTACGGATGTGAATGCATGTACGTCACCGTGTTGAGCTAGGCTCATTCCTACGATAATGTGTATGATGCTAATCAACAAATTGCGACATTTAAGACCTCCCCTGCACAGACAACCACATATTATACCTTACAGCAGTCTAATGATGCTGTGCCAGTCTGCCATTGTGTTCCGACTAGTAACAATACTGCCGTGTTTACTCTATCAAAAGGTTAAAGGGCTACTTGATATTTTTCTGTCTGGGGATTTAAACTGCGCATTACGCAGAACAATGGCTGTGTCGAGGTAGGCTTTGGGATAATATTACAATGTCGGATTAAACTGTAGTCATATCCAGCTTGCTAAAAACATATCGAATACTACATG